GCTTTTTGAAAAATAAATTACACCATGTTTATATTGAAGGTTTGAGCACGATTTAAGAGGGGAAAAAAATATAAATATAAATAAAGTTTAATTCATATTTTATTTATTTTTTTCTTTCTGTTTTATTTATCTTCATAAATCTCTCCCTAAATCTTTAATCCAAATGCACTCTTAAAATTATGCGAAGGCTTGAAATCTGTTGAAGTTCTTCTACCAATATTAAAATTAACAAAAATGCTTTAGACCACTAATTAGTGGTGGCTCTAATGATGTGGCAGTGGATCCCACCCACTGCCACATGTGTTTTGTGCCTTGTTTTTTTTTTTTTTTTTTTTTTTAAATCTCTCCCTAAATCTTTAATCCAAATGCACTCTTAAAATTATGCGAAGGCTTGAAATCTGTTGAAGTTATTCTACCAATATTAAAATTAATCACAAACACAACATTCTTAAATATGTGTAGGATTCATAAAAAGGTGAGATGCATAGAAGTAATTGATATATATATATATATATATTTAGACTTGATATCTATATTTCTAGATTTTTTTCAATTAGATTTGTGAAAAGAAATTTTAGATTAAATCATACTAACCTCCCTTAAAGCTTTGGGAAAATACATTGAAATTCAAAAGTTTGGCATAATCATGTTTAGTTGAATTAAGATTTTATTTCAAAAAACACTTAGGCTTTTTCATCAATAATTCATGAGTCTATGAATAAAAACATAATGTGTGTCAATTTTCGACCACACTGTCAATCAAACATTTAGCTGGTGAACATTGGCAAAATAGATTAAGCTCGAACGACCTGTCACAAAAAAAGAGATTCCGGCGGTGGTTCGTCCACCCGGGGCACTCCGACAATCAAGTCAATTATCTCTCAAATATAGCAAAAGTGCTTAATTCACTAATCAGAATATAAAAAGCATACCTTAGACCTATGAGGGTGCCTCTCTTTTATAACCAACACAAACCTCGTCCCAATAGAAGCCTAGCTTCAATGGACTTAGGATTACTGCTAATCCTGGACTCCCAAGAGGATTAGGATAAACTCTCTAAGAGTCTTATCTTTACCCAAACTGAAACCCTCTCTCATTCTAGGACTCTTGTCCCTTATCCGCTTATCTCGGATTCCGGTATCTTCGCAGATAATCTCGGCCTAGCCGAGATGATCTCGGCGTCATGACCAGGACACGTGGCACCTCGGCTGGCACTTCGGTGACACCTCGGCCGGCATTTTGGTGACACATCGGCCACGTGTTGCCATTCAAAAATTATGTCCCCACAACTGCCCCCTAGGTTCTATTACCTCGGCATCCTGAGGTGATGGAACCTATATCATTCATTCCTTTAATCATGACCCCAGTTTAATTTCAGCTTGTAAATTTTTTTTTAAAATTTCAACAAGTGTTAAATATGACCTCGGTTTAATTTCAATTGGCAAATTTTTCTTAAAATTTCAACAAGTGTTAAATATGACATCGGTTTAACTTCAACTTGTAAATTTTTCTTAAAATTTCAACAAGTGTTAAACATGACCTCTGTTTAACTTCAACTTGTAAATTTTTAAAATTTCAATAAGTGTTAAACATGTACTCGGTTTAACTTCAACTTGTAAATTTTCCTTAAAATTTCAACAAGTATTAAATATGACCTCGGTTTAACTTCAACTTGTTAATTTTTAAAATTTCAACAAATGTTAAACATGTCCTCGGTTTAACTTCAACTTGTAAATTTTTCTTAAAATTTCAACAAGTGTTAAAAATGACCTCGGCTTAACTTCAACTTGTAAATTTTTAAAATTTCAACAAGTGTTAAACATGTCCTCAGTTTACTTCAACTTGTAAATTTTTCTTAAAATTTCAATAAGTGTTAAATATGATCTCAGTTTAACTTCAACTTGTAAATTTTTCTTAAAATTTCAACAAGTGTTAAACCAACCTTAGCTTGTAAATTCTAACTCCCAAGCATCATTCTCCAGTTCTCTTTGGTGCACTACTTCTAGTGTCATTGTGAGTCCTTTTGGACCTCTTTCCATTGGTCATGTTGAAACAGAGTTCATTCCCCTGAACATCCCGATGTTCTTTGGTGCAGGTTTCTTTTATTCGACGTGTCTTCTGGTATTATCCATGCCCGACCTCTCGCGAAGGCCGGTGAGAATGTCCATTGGTCCTGCCATGCTGAGGGACTACAGGAACCGTTTTCTGCCCCCCTTTCTGAGCACCTTTTTTGGCCGCTGGAATCGGCGTATCTTGTAGCGGGAACGGTGGCTACATGACGTTATTCTGCATCATAAAATTGACGACCGTTTGTAGGTTTGCCAATTTGTCCGCCATTACCTTCATCTCGTCGTCCCTCCGCAGGCATCTATCTTTCCATACCTGGAGGTCGTCCTCGTTATAATACCCGCTCTGGTCCGATTTCTTCAGCACACCGCCCTCCTGGCCGACGTCATTTTCTCCGTGATTCTTATCGTTTAACTTCAACTTGTAAATTTTTCTTAAAATTTCAACAAGTGTTAAACCAACCTTAGCTTGTAAATTCTAACTCCTAAGCATCATTCTCCAGTTCTCTTTGGTGCACTACTTCTAGTGTCATTGTGAGTCTTTTTGGACCTCCTTCCATTGGTCATGTTGAAACAGAGTTCCTTCCCCTGAACATCCCGATGTTCTTTGGTGCAGGTTTCTTTTATTCGATGTGTCTTCTGGTATTATCCATGCCCGACCTCTCGCGAAGGCCGGTGAGAATGTCCCTTGGTCCTGCCATGTTGAGGGACTACAGGAACCGTTTTCTGCCCCCCTTTCTGAGCACCTTTCTTGGCCGCTGGAATCGGTGTATCTTGTAGCGGGAACGGTGGCTACATGACGTTGTTCTGCATCATAAAATTGACGACCGTTTGTAGGTTTGCCAATTTGTCCGCCATTACCTTCATCTCGTCGTCCCTCCGCAGGCATCTATCTTTCCATACCTGGAGGTCGTCCTCGTTATAATACCCGCTCTGGTCCGATTTCTTCAGCACACCGCCCTCCTGGCCGACGTCATTTTCTCCGTGATTCTTATCACGAGTCTCTTCGTTGCAGTTGTATTCTTCGACGTCAAGGTCAATATGTTTCCCACTCTCAATAGGGGTGTCGTCCCCAACCTTCTCTTTCTGTCCGTCCTTGGCCATCTATTCTCCTTTCTTTCCCACAGACGGTGCCAAATTGTGTGTGTCAATTTCCGACCACACTGCCAATCAAGCACTCAGCTAGAGAACACTGGTAGAATAGATTAAGCCCGAACAACCGGTCACAAAAAGAAGAGATTCTGGCGGTGGTTCGTCCACTCGGGGGCACTCTGACGATCAAGTCAGTTATCTCTCAAAGATAGCAAAAGTGCTTAACTCACTATTCAGAACATAAAAAACATATCTTAGACCCATGAGGGTGCCTCTCTTTTATAGCCAACACAAACCTAGTCTCAATAGAAGCCTAACTTCAATGGACTTAGGATTACTGCTAATCTTGGACTCCCAAGAGGATTGTGATAAACTCTCTAAGTGTCTTATCTTTACCCAAACTGAAGTCTTCTCTCATTCTAGGACTCTTGTCCCTTATCTGCTTATCCCGGATTCCGGTATCTTTGCAGATAACCTCAGCCTAGCAGAGATAATCTCGGCGTCATGACCAGGACACGTGGCACCTCGGCTGGCACTTTGGTGACACCTCGGCCGCGTGTTGTCATTCAAAAATTATGCCCCCACACATGATATTGTCATTTCTTTTATACTGAAAGATATAATTTTTGTTATTTATCCTTATGTTTTTAGGCCATTTTTGTTAGTTCTGATAACTTTAACTTTGCTAAGAAATGTCAATATAATTATGCAAAACTTAGGCAAAGTTTGGGAACTTGTAAAAAAGTTAAAAAGTTAAAAAGTTACTCAAAAAGTTAAAAAGTTAACACTATTCACCAAAAGTCAACAATTACGACTACACAACTCCAAATTCGAATTTTTCCCTATCCCAATTCAAATTTTTCCCTACAAATCAATTTTTACAATTTTTTATTATACATTTTTTCATAAAAAGTCAAAAAGTTAACCCAAACATCAATATTTTCAACCTCAATTTTTTAGTTCAAAAAGATAAAAGGTGCACTTATTTAGGACACCCCAAACAACCCCTTAATATCTATTGTATTATTTTAAAATTTTCATAAGCGATATAATTTATTTCAAAGTTGTAGATAAATGTCGTCGTTTTTTTAAAAAAATTATTTTTTATTGAGCTAATATGTGTTCTTGGAATACAAAAAATAATAATAATTACAAAAAATACTTTTGTAATTTCATATATTGTTTAAAAAATCTCTTTCACTATTTAAAAAAAAACACTCTTATGGACAATTACCATTTATCTTTGTTGGATATGGGTGGATCTACGGAGAAAGAAAGATGCACGGTAAATACAACTATACAAGTTAAAACAGTCTGTTCATTAATTAGGTAAACTACACTCACATTTTTTAAATTATATATAATTAATTTTATAATTTTCACATAATTATATAAATCTTCCTAATAGTTAAAACAATCAAAATTAATAAAAATGTTGGGTAGATACTAAAACAAAAAAATATTTTAATAAAAAAATTTATAGTATTAACAAATCATTAATAAAAAAGTCTAAGTATTATATCAATTAATTTTTTTTAAAAAAATTAATATAATTATATCAAAATAATTTATCCTAATTAATTAGACCTAAATATAGTAGGATAATTATATCAAAATAATTTATCCTAATTAATTAGACCTAAATATAGTAGGAAAAAAGTTAACTGTAAATGACAAAACCCAGTTATAATTATTTACAATAGGATGAGCCATGCCATGTGTGCCCACTTACCCAACTGCCAACACATGTTCTCTCTCCAAAACAGGCTTAACCGGTCACCCGTCGATGCCAAAATACATCCCCCAAACCCTCCTTCTTTATAAATACGAGGGCGTCTATCAATAATTTCTCGTTCTCTTCGTCCTGGTTTCACTACCCTTGAATATTATTTGCCCTTCGCTGTCCCGAATAATTACGATTCTACCCCACGGGTTATGATAGCTGCCGGAGATCGGGAACCTGAGAGCCTCCGCTCCTCCCCCGCTCTCGGCTTCCCTCGCCTCAGGTTCTTCCGCTACCGCCGCTTGAGGTAGTTCTCTCAATCCAATTCCTTCTACATATACACATATAGATTCATATATATATATATACGATGCCGAACTCGAAGAGTCACCGGAGGGGACAAGAGGAGAAGAACAGGAAGGGGAAGCTGGCGGAGAAAGCGTCGTCGTTTCACGGCCGAAGTGGAGGGGCCATGGGAGAGCAACTTATAAGGCCGAGGACGGTGCCGGAGTTGCTGGTTAGTAAGAGTGTAGTCGGCGGTGGTGTTGTGGCGGAGGGACGGCCGTTGAAGCTGACGAAGTTGTTGCTGAACGTGACGATTCAGCGGAGCCTTGGGGCTGTGCAGGTGATCATGTCGCCGGAATCGACCGTCGGTGATTTGATTGCGGCGGCGATGCGGCAGTATGTGAAGGAAGGAAGACGGCCGATCTTGTCCTCCACCGATTCCTCCAGTTATGGCCTCCATTATTCGCAGTTTAGCTTAGAAAGTAAGCCTTCTCTCTCTCTCTCTCTCTCTCTCAAGCTCAAGTTAACATTGGTCATTCGATTGATTCACTTTCTAGCTTTCAACAATCGCTGTGATTTGTTCCGATTGAGAAAATCACTATTATATATTTAAATTATATTTATCATCTATTTTTTAAGATAAATATAATTGAAATATATAATTTTGGAAGTATAATTATTTTAATTTTTTAATTTTAATGGACTCACCGTGTGAAAGCCCAAACCTAAGACTATTTTGAGCAGGTTATAATCAATTTTTTTTAATTAAAAGTTAATTTAAAATTGATTATAATTAATTTTTTTGTAAAAAAATAAAATGGATTATATATAATCTGAGGAATTATAATGTGAGGAGTGGATTACTGACTTCACAAAAGACCACCTAATGGTGTTTCCCTAATCTGTTTTGATTTCTCTGGTATGATTCCATTCGCTCTGATCACTTCGAATTTCGAGCCGAAAAATGCATATTAAATGATTAGATCACGTATAAGGTAATGATTGATGGGGCGTTTTGTTTTTGTGTGAGCCAGGTTTAGACCGGGATGAGAGGCTCATGGAGTTGGGATCGAGAAATTTCTTCCTCTGTCCAACAAGCGGTGGCGGTGGCAGTAGCAGCAGCGGCAGCAGCGGTAGCGTTGAATGTGGCGTGGCCACATCGTCCACTTCGTGTTCTAAACAAGCCGAGAAAGCAACCAAGATTGGGCTTCCTTGGCTCAAGTTCTTCTGAATTCATTTTTAGCCATTTTGCAGTTTTCTTTACAATTATGTTTTTATTTTTTATTTTTTTTATTTGTGTGGGTTCATTTAGCTCTGTCAAAGCCTTGTGAAAACTAAGGTTTGAAATTAGACTTGTATAATTAGTTAAAAGTTGGGTAGGATGAAGAACATGATGATAATATCTAGTGTCCTATTACTGGGCTTGCAACTTGCAGAATTCATGGAGATGGGGAAGAGGATGTAATCTTTGAATTTTTAGTGTGGTGGGGACATTCATCCCTCTGTATATATGTATATGTATCTCCAGCTATGCTGCATTAATTGGGAATAGGACATTTTATGAAATATATTTACAGTGTTTTGGATGCTGATTTGTGGAGAGGATAGGGGGAACAAAAAAGATATTAGCTGAAATTAAGGGTTGATTTGGTAAAAATTAAATAATACAAAAAGTCAAAAAGTCACTATTCTATTTAAGTCATATCATCTTATTTAAATCACATCATCTCTTTAACATATTACATCAAACTCAACCCAAATTCAACCTATATAAGTCAATAAATCAAAAAGTGTATTTTTTTAGAACATCTCAAACCAACCTTAAAATTTTGTGCTCTTTTGTTTGATTGACTTAGGAAAATAAGATGAAGATAAATAGGTATTTATTTGTTTGATTATCATAAGATAAGTTAATTGTGAAATGTTAAATTTATGAACTTTATTATGCTTGAAATGTAGGATATAAAATGGGATTTTTATTAATAAATCATATTTAGAAGTATTCTAACTTAAAAAGTTTATGAAGAATTTTTTTAACTCACTTAATCCTATGTATTTATACTTTTATTTCATAGAAAGTCATTTTTCTTGATTTATATTATTTTTTTTAGATTTTTATGTCTTTATATTTAATATTGATATTTAATGTTTGGGGAGAAGAGAGAAGGGAAACGGCAAATGCATATGAAATTTTATACATAAATTAAGTACTATTGATATTATTTTATATTATTATATAATGTGAATATATTTTTAATTGGCAACACATTAAAAAAAATGTGAACATGTTCTTTCATAATGTGAATATATTTTTAATTGGCAATACATTAAAAATAATGTGAACATGTTCTCTCATATGATGTGAATATATTTTTAATTGACAATACATTAAAAATACTATGAACATTCTCTCTTATCTAGTGTTAACATTCACAATACCTTTTCAAAAAATTCTCTCTCATCTAATGTAATGATGTGAACGTTCACAACATGTGAACCTTTTTATTTTTAATTAACAACATATTAAAAATAACGTTTATTATATTTTTAATTGACAACACATTGTTACTTACAATATGTAATGATGTGAACGCTCACAACATGTGAACATTCTCTCCCATCTGATGTAATGATGTGAACATTCACATTCGTATGTTTTGATATGAATATTCACATCATGTAATTGACAACACAATGATAAAAATTCATTTCAAATTAACGTGAATATAATTATGTGAATATATATTTTAATTACATGATGTGAATATTCACATTATGTAATTGACAATAAATTGATAAAAATTTATTTCAAATTAATATGAATATAATGACAGTCAACATCCTGATGCATGAGAATTATCAAAATATAATGACAATCAATATTAAATATTGACATTAATAAAAGCAAAAGAGATTGAGAGTGTTTTAATTTTCTTATTTCAAATAAGATATAATAAAATAATTAAAAAAAATATAAATTTAATGAAATAAAACTCTTAAAAAAAAAAATTTATCAAAAAAACACCCCATATAAAATTAGTTGATAGAGGTGCATCTTATAATTGAGTAATTCGTAAATTGAACCGATTTCATCATCGTGGATGTGGGTTCGTTTTTTGAGTTACCGGCCAATTTGAGTTGCATGTCATCGTTATCATTGACAAGTGCAATAACTATTCAAGAATAAACAATTATAAGACTAATAATTCATAACTTTAAATTTGAAACTCTAATAATAATATTAATGATGTGACATGAAATTAAAAAAATATATATATACATTAAATTATTTGTAAGTGGGATCCACTGCCATATAAGTAAACAATAATGCTTTGGACCTCCTTTTTTCCCACTCACTTGACCCCCTCTCAACATGATTGGTCAATTTTTTTTTTTCTTTTTTTTCTCCTTCTTCTCCAATCACTACCCGCCACGTGTGTATGGAATAGTGGGGACGGTGATTGGAGAGGGTCTCAATCATGATCCATAAGTAAAACTCTCATTAGAGTTTCACTTTTTGTGCTCTTAAACATTTTTGTAGATATAATTATTAAAATTTTTGTTAACCTATGTTCTGAATATCTACCTTAAGAAATTATTAAGGGTTGGTTTGGGGAGTTGGTTCGCTTTTTGACTTTTTGACTATTTTAGCTTGGGCTAAAAAACTTAGTTTTGGAATGATTTTTTGATTTTTTAACTTTTTTGACATTTTTTTGTGAGAGAAGAATGTAATGATTATGGATTGGGTGTGATGTTTTGTTTGCTGTAGTTAAAATATCTTATTTTGTCTTTTGTGACTATTTTAAACACAAATCATCTTTCCAAACGACCCTTAAATGAACATAATTATTCTCACTCGTATATAAACTAATAAAAGTTTTTAAAGTGATTAGGATTAAAGAGTTTGTCTTTACATAACTTTTTCTATTTATCTCAATTTCACCTCTTAATATCTCTTTTATTATTGGAGGGAAACTGATTTTTGTCAATAATTTAATAAATTTATTTGTTCGTTTTTATAATTTAACAATTAAAATTATTTTTTTAAAAAATTTAAAGAGTCTTTGTATAAATGATCCGATGATTCAACTTTACAAGGTGGCAACCATTTTATAAACATGGTGTTATGGTAAACTGCGAGGAAGGGCATTAGACAAAAAGGCTATAACGTAGGTGTTTGAAAAGTTACTATTTTAGTAAGGTTTTGATTGGGAATAAGTTTTTTTTAATAATTTTTTAATTTTTTAGTTAAAATATGATATAAAAAAAATTAGTATGTTTGGGAAGGTTTTTTAACTTTTTACGAAAAGATGTGCAAAAAGTAAAGAGAAGAAAATCTTTGACTTTTTGATATGAATTGTTGGTTTTTTAATTTTTTTAGTAACTTTTTGATTAAAAGAGACACTTGCCAAACGAGGTCTAAGTTATTTTAATTTTTGATTATTTTAGTATATTAAAATTTTTATGTTTAGGAACATGATTAGATTTTTTTATAGTTAAATGTTATACTTGTAAAAGAAAAAAATGAAATGATTATAAATTTGATGTGTCATTTTATCTTATTAATTATTTTAACTTATTTTATCTTTTAATATTATTATAGCTTAAAAAAAAAAAAAACTAAAAAACCTTCTTTCCAAACCCCCCAATAAGATTGATAGAATAAAGATTGATAATATTATTTTTCCATTCCTAAAAAGAGTATCACTTCGGTGGCATTCCACCTCTTCATCCACATCATCTTTTCATTGACCAAACAATTTAATTCATCTCCCACTAACCTTAAGTTTTATAAATTATAAAGTGACCCTAAAACTTTTATGTAATTTTATAATTAAGCTTTTAAATTTAGCGTAACTTTTTAAAAATATTGTTTTCACTTGTAAGATTGTGTGAGACCCTCAATCTTAGTATTAGAGCCTAGAAATTGATTCTAGAAAAAATTTTAAGCATGGAAATTCAATATTTAATTCAAGATATAATAGATATAAAATTTGTTATGCATTTTGATCACGAAAATAGTAAAACTAAAATCACAGGACTATTAAATAGTCTGATGAAATTAAGTAAAGAAACTTTAAAACGTATCTGTTGGACCATTTTAATATCTTATATTTATTTATTTATATATTTTATTCATGAATCTTCTTTTGTTTTGTTCATGAATGGAGATTAATTGGAATTCATGAACTTTATGCTGAATTAATATTTGAAAACTCTCCATTTTCTCTAGTTTAATGGTCATTATTACTTTTTGGTATAATTTGTAAGGTTCTAGTGGCCTATAAATAGTTCCTTTCATCTACTCTTTTCTGCACAAACTATTATTTATACTTGAGAGATTACTAGCAAAAAAATGTGTTTTTCTTGGTGGAGCTTTGGATTCACCATCTTGTACAGAGTTGACCTGAATCGTATGACAAGTGGTCGGGCTGTTGTATCTTGGAGGGGACAAGTCATAGTTTCGTGACTACTGCATCGGCATTTGGGTTCTTCCTACCGCAGTGGGCTTGATCTCTTTAAAGAAACGAGATATCCGTGCCTCTGCCTGATCTATTTGTATCCCATTTTCTTTTGCATTATTTATCAATAAAATATAATTTTTCTGGTATTTTCACTAACAATTTTAAGGAGATCAACCATGGAACAAGTATCAGAAAAAACTAATGATGGAATTGGAGATCTCAACAAACCTTTCAAGTTCAAGAAAGTTCATTTTAAGATGTGAAAACGAAAAGTTCTTTTTTACCTCAACCTTTTGAAAGTTGCATATGTTCTTACTGAGAAGAACCCAAACAAAATCTCAACTAAGGAGATGAATGATGAAAACTACGAGCCATATGAAACAAAAGTGGCTTCCTATAATCCAGATGAGTATAAATATCAATTTTATCTCTTAAATTTCCTTGCTGATTACTTTTATGATTATTACTATGATACCACTTATACTTTGTCTTCTATTAATTTTTGGCATGCTCGCTTGTGTTATATTAACAGTAAATATATGAAAATTATAAGTAGTTTAGGATTAATTCCTAAAGTGACAAAATTTTTGAGAAATGTGAAGTTTGTAGTAAAGCAAAAATTACCAAGAGGCCCCATAAAAGTGTTGAAAAAAATACCGAATTGCTAGAATTATTTCATACTGATTTGTGTGAGTTTGAAAGAATTTTAACTCGAGGTGGTAACTGATATTTTATCACTTTTATTGATAATTTTTCAAAATACACAAACATATATTTATTAAAAAATCAAAGTGATGCTTTTGAGAAATTTAAAGAATTCCTTCTTAAAGTGGAAAATCAATTCGATAAAAAGATTAAGAGAATTAGAAGTGATAGAGGCCGAGAGTATGAATCTCTTGTATTCAACTCTGTTGTTCAGTCATTGGGAATTATTCATGAGACTACTCCACCGTATTCACTTTCATCTAATGGTGTAGTTGAAAGAAAAAATAGAGCGTTAATTGACTTGACGAATGCGATGTTTATTGATTCAGATGCTCCTTCAAATCTTTGGGGCGAGACTATTGTAATAGCTTGCCATGTGATAAATAGAGTGTCATACA